AGTTTAAAGAGAAATGACACTTTCTAATCTCTCCCTCTTCCCCCCCCTTTTTTTTGGCCCCGTCCGCTTGGCTCCTGATTCTTTCTGCAGCCTTTTTGCTGCTACTACTCGTTGGTTCCTTCTTAAACTGTTGTCTTCCAGCCACACCCTTAATCTTAGGGTAGTTAAGATCTAACACCTAGGCTTCTCCGATAAGGACGAAACATCTCGGCGGTCCCGTGTGCAAGTTACGCCCGTTAAAGCTCCCTTGGTGATCCAAAATCGATAAGAGTAGGCTTCGGCACGACCAAGGCAAAAATCAAAATTAATTTCTCCCAAACTGAATATTATTTTCCATGTTTCCCGTGCGCTCATATGACATTATGCAGTAGCGAGCGCAGTAAAACACTTACCCAAACAAAACATTAAAGTGTCCCGAGTGCTCATATGACCTTATTATGCAGTTGTGAGGGCCGTAAATCCCATACCAAAACAAAACAAGACGTGACACTAATCTTGGAGCTATCGATTTTCGCGGAGAAGAGAACCCACTTTTAGCGTTTTAAAATGCATACGATATTGCTGTATAACTTAATCAAAAACAATAGAATCTACAGGACTCTAGGGTGAAACTGAATATCATCCTGGAGGATCAAAATTTGGTCATGTCGTTAAGTTATCATATTGAGTGGCACCGTGGCAAAATCAAACGCTCGTCAACATGATAAAATAGAAGAAACCGACATTTTTCTGACCACCAGGCAAATTTTGTTTTTCACTTTTTTTCTTCTTTTTTTGGCGGGGTCCTTACCTTTCCTGTCCATTTAAAAGCACATTTATGTGCGGAGTTTATAGGAAAATGTTGATCAATGGCGCACAAAAGTATAAATTTGCAATTTTAAAGAACACTCAAGCTGTGCATATCACCAAAACTTCGAGGCTATTTTCCCTTCTAATTTTACCCCTGACACCCGAAGAACCCCTGTTCCTTCAATTGCAAATATTCTGATATTTATTCAAAATACATGAGTATTTTTTTTTTCAATCAAGGCAAATGGACACGCTTGAAGATTCTACCCAAAACTCCACGATATGCCGCAAAATTGACAAGAGCCTGATTCCACCTTGTCCAGATACCAGTGACACATTTTATTCGTTGTGAGTCATTGTAGGAGGATAAAATCATACCAAAACTTTACTTATCCTGACTTTACAATTCATGTATTTACGTGTGTGTGTGCGAATCTTCCGTATGTAATTGTTTTTTACGGCCCACGCTGACACAGTTTAGATGATTTGTGAGGCAGCGTGGTGGAATCAGGCTCTCGTCAAAATAATACAATTGAAGAAACTTGCAATTTTCCTCAGGTTTGTGAATTTTTATCAAGCTTTTTTGGGGGGGCCCAACACTTTTCGTGCCCATTAAAGAACTTATTTTTGTGTGGATTTTTCTGAAAGACGATTAAAGGCACACAAAATGGAAATTTTCAGTTACCACGGACTCTTCAGCTATGGAAATAACCAATCTTTGGCGGCCATTTTCTCACTAATGTTTCCTCTGAAAACAGGTTGCCCCCACCCCCTTCATTTGCAAATATCTCCATTTGTATTCAAGAAGAATGGACAATTTTTTCATTGAAATAAAGACAAGGGAACAAGCTTTAAGATGATACCAATAACTCTACATGCCCGAAAATTGACGAGAGCCTGATTCCACCACACAGACGCCGTTTAGATGATTTAGTAGGCGTTCGCCAACCCTGCTTGCCAGAGACAACCTGAGGAGCAGATAAGGAATCAACATTCTAGCAAAAAGACCAAGATACTCAATAAAAACTATCGACTTCATCATGCAAAGTTGAAGACCCTAACCACTACATCACAATCACACACCGTCCCATTTACCCAAACTGAAAGGAAAAGATAAATAAACACCACACACACACACACACACACACACACACACACACACACACACTCACACACACATATACACACACATAAACACACACACACACACAAATATGCAAAAGAAAAAAAAGTAAGCTAATGAAAGAGTAAAAAGAACTCAATCAAATTCTCTTAAGAAAATCCAATCTAATCACGCACTAGGAAATAACTTGATTGATACGAAACTAAGTAGGAGCAAACCCACATCTAAGTAAGGAATACAGCAGAAAAAGGCAACTACTCAAAAAGGTATTGGAAAACCCCCGCGCGGTAAGGGTCACAGAAATGTGACCACTGATGCCCAGCAGTGCCACCATTATCCCATACCGGAACGGGAAACGGTCTGCCCTGTTTATGCCCCCACGATCTCATTTTGTGATCAGAATGACGTCATTATCTGTTTTTTCTCATCATTCCTCGTCGGTCAACATAGAGCCCTTCGTAAGCC